TATATGAGGGGGCATGTTTTCAATATTTTTGATCAGGTTTATGATTGAGTAAAAGTGGATGTGTGTGTGACTCTGTAATGATTACTATATACACTATATTGCCAAAAGTATTGGGGCACCACTCCAAATCATTGGATTCCGGTGTTCCAATCACCTCCATGGCCACAGGTGTATAAAATCAAGCACCTAGGCATGCAGACTGCTTCTACAAACATTTGTGACTTCAAGCGTGGTACCGTGATAGGTTGCCACCTGTGCAATAAGTCCATCCATGAAATTGCCTTGCTACTAAATATTCCACGGGCAACTGTTAGTGGTATTATAACAAAGTGGAAGACACTGGAGACAACAGCAACGAAGTGGTAGGCCATGTAAAATGACAGAGCGGGGTCAGCACATGCTGCAGCATACAGTGCGCAGAAGTCACCAACTGTCTGCAGAGTCAAGAGCTACAGACCTCCAAACTTCGTGTGGCCTTCAGATTGGCACAACAACAGTGCGTAGAGAGCTTCATGGAATGTGTTTCTGTCACCACATATTTGCTTGCCAAATTAGAACTGGCTTCTTTTGTAAGTCAACCCTTGAATCTAAATATGGATCTATTCTTATCCATACTAATCTTGATAATGTGCATATAGTTTTTTTTAATCTAAAAGGTTTCCCTACACAAAGCCTTCTCTACACCAGGGACATGCAGTCTGGGGGGGCAGGTGAGGCAGAGTCTCACCTGCCATTATGGAAGAAAAAGCTCCATTCAGAACGGCTTCTAACAGGTTACAGCAGGCCTTCCCCGCTGTGTAACCTGTCAAGGACGGACCGTCGCCTGTTAATTACAGGCAGAGTTTCATCAGGCTTTTGACAGCTATGTTAGCTTACACAACAGTGGGCTTCCCCGCTGCTGTGTGTAACCTAACACAATGAGGCCAGAGCTAAAACAGCGTAGAATCAGAGGCTTGAACTCTGTGAATGGTTTGAACCTGTGGCAAAGCCGTCCAATCAAAAAAAAAGAGAAAAAAAACACTGATGGCACGCATTTAGATGCCTCGCAAGTGAGGGACAGGGAGGCTCATCCCTGTCTCCTGCCTCCTTCCTCCCTCCCTCCTCCACGCAGCTCAGTGGTCGGGTCTGGGGCGGGGTGGGGGAGGGCCAGGGGGTGCCTCACCTGCCACTGACCTCCCTGCACGTCCCTGCTCTACTCTACAATATATACTAAAAGGATATATAACAATAATAGGTGAAAAGAGTTTCCATTGCCCAGCTAACATTTCTCTCTATTACTGTTTTGTGATTGGTGTTCTCGTCTGCCTGTCACCAATCACAGAGGTAGCCAATCACAGATTAGCGAACAGAAGAACAGCTCTTTCTACAGCTAATTAAAAAAAAGTCTTAAAAAAAGAACCTTTCTAATTTTCTCTATAAAGATATGTACTTATGAATCTGAGAGGCAGAACAAGTAAACACAGATGAGGGATTTTGTACCCAGAAATCCCAGGATCTGGTTACCATCAAGAAGTCATAAGAGAAATAATGGCAGCTATCTGTAATGTCATGGATGCAAATATTGTACCTCCTCCTACATTTCCTAAAAGCACTATCACTACGAGACAAGTTAATGAGCAGTGGAATGACTATAAAAAAATAAATAGCATTAGCTCATATAGCAAGTAAATTAATATAATGAATTTGTCTTCAACTAACTCAACTCACAAACTGGAAAAATATTTTATTTGCAAAAAAAGATAAACTAGTCTGTGGTACACATCCAATTAAAGGGGTCACAAAAATGTTTGTGTTCATTGGTGATACATTTATGCTACAAATCAGTAGCATGCAGTATGTTAAATAAATAATTCATTCAATCAAACAGAGAAGAAAAATATTCCACAATCATAGATGAGGTCATGCAAATTAATAGGGGACGTTATTTATGATCACACCAGAAAGCAGGGACAATTTGTTTTAATGATATGCAGCAGTCTTAACCCTTTCTATACTGTCAGTCAGAGCAGGCTAATTAATTGCTGGTAATTTTTTTCCTCCTCTCTTTCATTGGTTTTTGCTTCATAATTAAAGTAGGGGTACCATGAACAGCAATCAGAATACTGATCTGTGTACTTTTACCAGGACATTGACTCAGAAAGTATTGAATCAACTGGATCTCCAGCTGGATCTGACAGCAAAGAAATAAGGATTTATAAACGAGATCTATTCAGCAAATGTTTCCTTTGGAGTCAATAGGCCACTCAGACACTACAATGTTAATGTTCAGGGTAGAGTAGCACAGAGCATCCCCTCTACCCCGGGCAGGTATAACAGTCTTAACTCTCCAGCGAAGGCTTTTCACAAAATGTTGGAGTGTTTTTGTGGGAATTTGGGCCAATTCGAATTTGTGAGGTCAGGTACTGATGTTAGATGAGAAGACCTGGCTCACAACCAGCATTACAATTCATCTCAAAGATATTCAGTAGGGTTTGTCACGATTAGGGCACTGGAGCACCAGGAATCGCAAACTCTGGGTCTTGCAGAGCAGTATATAGTGACTGAATTAGTAATTGTCAGGGATACAGATCTCTGAAGATGAAAGGAACAGTGTGACCGCACAACAAACGCAGGTGTGCCACAGTCGCAGGATCTAAGGAGCCAACTGGTCTTCCCCAGAGCCACTGATGGCGTGGATGTTGAGCTGCAGGGCAGCTACCAGGTTGCGGCTCTCTGACACACCCGTGCAGGCACAGTGCCAGCGGGCACTCAGGGACCACAGCACACGGGACAAGACACAGGGTGCATGCAGGATACAAGATACAGAAAACAGGCACTAGAGGGAAGACGCAGGGAACATGCATGGCACAGGGAGCAGGTAACAGAAGGGAACAAACAACAGGTGTACCCACAGAGACAAGAGAAACACAGGAACAGCAGAGGGAAGAGAAAGGAGGGAGGTGCACAATAGTGCAGAGCACACTGACCACAGGAAGCAGGAGCAGCAGGCAACCACAGAGCAGGAAACAATGCTGTGGAGGGAACACACAGCCACAGCAAACAAAAGGGGTACACGGACAGAAAACAAAGGAAATGAAAGAGCGCAGCAGGAAGGAAACACTGTAACCAACAAGAGCAAACAAAGACACAAAATGCAAGGTATACTCAAGCGGCAACGCCACAGAAAACCGAGATGTCCGGCTACTAGTGTGGAGACACGCTGCTCGAACGCTAAAGAACAGGTGCACATGCCTTGTAACACCTAGGTTCAGGGTGGACTGACAGGAAACCGAGCAGCTCGGACAGGAGGCAAAACCCAGCACCGGATCAATGTACAAGGAACCATGACAGTGTTGAGGTCAGGGTTCTGTGCAGGCAAAACAAGTCCTCACACACCAAACTCATCAAACCATAGGTTTTGGAGCACAGAGGCAAACAATTCATCCTCACACTGCTACCTCCTCATGTATCACTTCTCCCTCCCTTTTAGGTTGTAAGCCCTCACGGGCAGGGCCCTCTTTACCATCTTGTCTTGAATTGTATTGTGATTGTAATGTCTTCCTTATATTGTAAAGCGCTGTACTAACTGTTGGCGCTATATAAATCGTGTTTAATAATATTAATAATAATAATGCAGAAACTCTAAAGGGCTATCTCCAAACTGTTGCCACCAGGTTGGAAGTGCACAGTTGTCTAAAATGTCTTTGTTTGCTATAGAAATAATAGTATCCTTTAATGAAAACTTCCGAACTCAATAGTTTGGAGGGGTGGCAATATACCTTGGTGTGGGTGTGATTGTCAGGTGTCCACAAACTTCTGGCCATATAGTGTATACAACGGACTGCAGGGTATCTTTGTGTAGTCGGACAATTCTGTTTAGTTAGTAGACAATGTTCTCCTGTTTTTAATATATGGGAGTAATGGTGAATGGGCTAAATTAATTGCTTAAGATATAGTTAATTAACAGTACAATACAGTGTCAGTATTCACTTTTTCTTTCTTTTAAGCTAAATTTTAGAAACTACTCTGCCAGAAGGCCAGTTTTTACATTATGATGCAACTTAAAATCTTTCCAGCCTTCAGAGACTGATTGTGCTACCCAATATAAATGAATAGATCTCACTACACTATGATCTATGACCTGCAATCAGTTGTTATTATTATACAGGATTTATACAGCACCAACAGTTTGTGCATCGCTTTACAATATAAAGAAGACATTACAGTTACAATACAATTTAAGACAAGATAGTAAGGAGGGCCCTGCCCTTGAGAGCTTACAATCTGAAAGGGAGGGGCAAGTGATGCAAAAGGTGGTAGCTGTGTGGGGAGGAATTGTTTAAGAAAGTGATAGTACAGTGGTTAGGTTGTGGTGGGATAGGCTTCCCTGAAGAGATGAGTCTTTAGGGATCGCCTAAAGGCAGTTGTAAGCGATCTTATGAAGATGCAGTCATTTTTGGTGATCTTGGTCAGAGACTCATGTAGTGGCTCACATCCATTTATGTCTGATGTGATATAAACATTAGTGATATTATTCTGCTGGGTAGCAGCAGTAGTAGAGCCCCTTGGTAAAACAGCCACGTGAGAACACCGATCAATCAACAACAAATCAAGAACAAGCAGTCCATAAGTCAGGAAATACCTTTTATCACAACCTTCTCATATATGTGTTCTACTAAATGACATTTCAGTGGTGTACCTGACCCTGAAACTGTTTTCAGCAGAACCACAATTATGTTAAAGAGAACGTCATATTCATAAAAGTGCCTTACATAAAAACTTAATGTATTGCTTGCAGCTACCAATCAGACTAAAGCAGCAGCAGAAAATGAGAGCTGTAGAACAAAAGTATGAATCTGCTTTAAGACAGTATATACAGTTTTATATAAAGCATTTTTATGAATGAGTACAAGCATACTTTACTCCCCCTCGCACCACACATTTAAAGTCAATATTTCAATATACATCATTATCAGAACATTCATTGGGATATAAATGTATAATTAACCACACAGACATACCATGCAGCTGGGAAATTGATAAATATGAATTGCTCCAAGCAGCCACTTGTCTATATATCCTGCCGCTCCACCTGTGCAGTTTGGATATTGACCATAGCTTCCTATTCCACCAGGACCCAGGTAACCACTGTAGAGTGACATGATCAGATTATTAAAACATATCATACAATGTTCCCAAAATGTCCTTAATGTTAAAAAGAAATTGATAAAAGGGAAGCCTAAACATAACAGAGAAAATCTTAAAAATTACAATATGTTATTAGCTACCTGGAATCTAAAGACATAATGTGACTGTGAAAAGCACCAATGGCAGTGCTATAGTTTTCACAATTCCTGTTACTGCCAATTTTGCTAGTTTGGTCTATATGTTAGTATGAATAAAACAAATAGATACAGTCATGTGAAATTTTAAAAAAAAGTGAATTAACATGTCACATGCTCTTATTGTATGTCTTAATTATGAGAGTCCCCCGACACCTGGAACATACAGTTTTGGGAAGGCAGGACTAAATTTAGTGTGGGGAATCCGCCCGCTCGTTAACAAGTTTTTTGCTAGTGTCTCAAGCACATACTGGGCCACCTTCTGCCAGTTGTACATCCTTGGCACAAAGTGGTACTTAGTAGGGATGCACCAAAATTTCAGCCGCTGAAACATCGGCAGAGAATGTCACTTTTTGGCAAAATGCCAGAAGGGCCATCTTTCGGCCAAAATTGCAGTGCATCCATGGTTTATCTTCTCCCCGCTATGCGCTGCTCTGTGTCCCCTCTGACACAGCACAGCATCTAACTAGGAGGAGAGAAACTGTCAGGAGCTGAGCAGGGTGGGGAGGAGAGCGATGTGAGCGTGTCACAGGAGGCTGAGCTGTCCTCCCGCACCGCCCCACCCAGCCTCCTGCACAGATCAGGAGAGCGGTGTGTGGGCAGAGACAGCTGTCACTGGAGACCGAGCCGGCATTGAGCGGGAGGATTCAGCTGTCAAATGAGACCAAGCTCTCATCCCCGCACCGCCTGCTCAGTCTCCTGTGACAGCAGGTCACAGGAGAGAATGGTATACAAACATTCAGTGATCAGTGATTGCTGAATGTTTGTAAATAACTGGACATAGTATGAGTTACCATGTACCAGTGTATGAATGAATGGGTAGTGATCTACATCACTTCCTATTCATTTATGATTGTGTACATAGTAACTCATACTATATCCACAATTTATGAATGATCAGGAACGCTCAGTGCAGTATAAATGATTCCTGAAAAAGGTTGTCGTCAATCTCTTGACGACAATCTCTTTTTCTATTGTTAAATGGAAATATCAGGGGCCTGTTTAGACCTCTGATATTTTCACCGTAGCCCCCAACAGTAAAGTAAAAGCATTAAAATATTTTATAAAAACAAATAAAATATAAAAAAATAAAAAGTTTAGAACAAATATTTAAAGAAAATTTAGATTTAGAAAAAACATAAGTTTTGGTCTCAAAATTTAATTTCGATGCACCTCTTAGATATAGTTGCTTGTAAGCCTTTTAGTTATAGCCTTGCCTTTCCCACCCACATTTGCTTAATCATGGCAGAGATGGCCTTACGAGGAAAAAATACATTTAAAAAAAGTAAAAGTATCAGAAGTATAAAAAATTTAAATCTGTAAATAGTGTTAAACAAACAAACAAAAAAAACATAAAAAATGTTGATGGTGGGTAGGAAAATGTTAATATGGGACATGCTAAAGACATGAACTAGAGGACAAGGGCTGTTTTTGCCAGATGATATGGATATGGAAGCAGTTGAAGTGCCAAGCTGGCATACAGGCTCTTGGCATATAAGGGGCGTGCGGAAATTTTTTTTCTTCTGCCCGAGGCCGTCTTGGCATGGAAAGGTTTCTACTTGAGATGGTTTTAATTTGCATGAAGTATATGAGGGGGCATGTTTTCAATATTTTTGATCAGGTTTATGATTGAGTAAAAGTGGATGTGTGTGTGACTCTGTAATGATTACTATATACACTATATTGCCAAAAGTATTGGGGCACCACTCCAAATCATTGGATTCCGGTGTTCCAATCACCTCCATGGCCACAGGTGTATAAAATCAAGCACCTAGGCATGCAGACTGCTTCTACAAACATTTGTGACTTCAAGCGTGGTACCGTGATAGGTTGCCACCTGTGCAATAAGTCCATCCATGAAATTGCCTTGCTACTAAATATTCCACGGGCAACTGTTAGTGGTATTATAACAAAGTGGAAGACACTGGAGACAACAGCAACGAAGTGGTAGGCCATGTAAAATGACAGAGCGGGGTCAGCACATGCTGCAGCATACAGTGCGCAGAAGTCACCAACTGTCTGCAGAGTCAAGAGCTACAGACCTCCAAACTTCGTGTGGCCTTCAGATTGGCACAACAACAGTGCGTAGAGAGCTTCATGGAATGTGTTTCCATGGCTGAGCAGCTGTATCCAAGCCTTACATCACCAAGTGCAATGCAAAGCGTCAAATGCAGTGTTGTAAAGCACGCCGCCACTGGACTCTAGAGAAGTGGAGACGTGTTCTCTGGAGTGACGAATCACGCTTCTCTGTCTGGCAATCTGATGGACGTGTCTGGGTTGGTGGTTGCCAGGAGAACGGTACTTGCCTGACCGCATTGTGCCAAGTGTAAAGTTTGGTGGAGGGGGGATTATGGTGTGGGGTTGTTTTCAGGGGTTGGGCTTGGCCACTTAGTTCCAGTGAAGGGAACTCTTAAAGCATCAGCATACCAAGACATTTTGGACAATTTCATGTTCCCAACTTTGTGGGAACAGTTTGGGGATGGCCCCTTCCTGTTCCAACATGACTGCGCATCAGTGCACAAAGCAAGGTCCATAAAGACATGAATGAGCGCGTTTGGGGTGGAGGAACTTGACTGGCCTGCACAGAGTCCTGACCTCAACCCGATAGAACACCTTTGGGATGAATTAGAGCGGAGACTGCGAGACAGGCCTTCTCATCCAACATCAGTATCTGACCTCTCAAATGCGCTTTGGGAAGAATGGTCAAACATTACCATAGACACACTTCTAAACCTTGTGGACAGCCTTCCCAGAAGAGTTAAAACTGTTATAGCTGCAAAGGGTGGGCCAACTCAATATTAAACCCTACGGACTAAGACTGGGATACCAATAAGGTTCATGTGCGTGTAAAGGCAGGTGTCCCAATACTTTTGGCAATATAGTGTAAGTTATAATAGGAAGAGGCTGTAGGGCATTTGGCCTATAGTAATTCCCCATTGGATCTGCACCTGGAGTTTGCAGAACTTTTATATTATAGCAGTTCCCTATAAAGTTCATTCCTGTGATTGGCAGCTTTGTTGGAATACTGAAGTGTGTGCACTGAGCAGGGATTTCTGCTTTATAATGTGTTTTCAAGTTCCCCGTCAGGTCATCGTGTTTGTCTCTTACTGCAAATCCCTATTTCTGTTACTGCCAATCCTCCTAACTATGTATGCATACCTGGGTGCCTCTTATTTAAAATCTATTTATTTTGTCTGCCTCTTGTCCCAAAGGTCTGTGACCAATTGAAGGCATTTTAAAAATGGTGGCATGGTTTAGTGCGTGTGGCTACACATAGGGGTTTGATTTTGTAGGTGTGGTTTTAAAGTAGGAGTGGTCAGTAGGGTGTTCCTGGGTTTCATATTGAAAATCTGGTCCATTTAGCCCGGTGAGTAAAAGTTGCAGATTCCCAGTAAGGATACATTTGTTTTATGAGCAGCACTGACTGAATATGCCTGAACATCTATGAAATATGGCTAAACAGAAAACGCTGGTATTACATTACGTTTGAGATTAGATTTTCAGGACAAATGGCTCTGTGAATTGTTTCTAAAAAGACCCCCTACTATATGCTTAAATGCCACATATACCAGTAATTTCGACTTGATTTTTCTTATAAAAACTTTTGCTTGGCCTCTACTTTCAAATTAAATATATACATAATAAAAAAAGATACAGTCATGTTGATCAATGGAAAATGAAGATGAAACATCATGCTTATGATCTACACACTCACTTGCCTGTAGGCTCCCTATAGACTTAAGTTCTCCATGCAAACATGAAAGGCTGAGGACAGAGCTTCAGGCAAGTATTAGTGGCACTGGAGGCTAGAACAAAAGCAACTGGAGCAGGTATTTTAACCTGTCTGATGGATGCCCTTCTCCTAAGATCTTGGCAATTGGAAGTCTTTTTGCCACAATGGAAATGTGATTGTTATATAATTTAGTTGAAAGCGGCCACATCAGGCTCCTTATCTCATATTGATAAGCTGCTATAGACAACAGATTTTGGGCAAACACACCCTTAAGATCAATCTTTATATACCTGTAGATATATATGCTCTACAGACACCTAACCACGTGTCACAACCCAGCACATCATTATCAGGAAACTGGTTGCTCTGGGTTGAAGCTATAGTTCTATTTTAGTTTTCGTTGATAGCATTTTGTAGTCAATCATGCCCATTGTGTGTCTGAAAATTCTGCAAGTTGTCAGAAACTTTTGCAAGCCATCCAAACAATCCACAAGCAAGAAGTTTCACTTTTTCTGATGAATACATTTAGCACATTCTGCAGTTGTAGCTGGAATAATCAAATTATGCATATGCAGTAATCACTGATAGTGCTTACGTGGGACATCCAGGCACAGGTAGTAGAAATGTCAGACATAGTGATACTGTCTCTAGAGCTATCATGATGATCCACTCTGGCCAATAAGCGACAATATCCCTTACGGCAGCACTCCACTGATGGCTCTGCGCAGACAAAAGAATATATAGTCAGACAAGCACTTTGGGCCACTTCAGGGAGACTTTGCTCCAACATCAATATTTAAAGCATTTCCTCTTTCATGCTGGTCAGCAGGATCATTCCTGGTTGTTTTCAACAACAGGCATTCTGTGCAACAAGCAATTACATGATGTTCTGCACATCCCAGCACTACTGCTTGAAGGATTAAAGAGAGGAAATCCTGAGATTTGCAGTTTTCTTTTAAAGGTATTGAACACTTGGATGATTAGCAAGACAAATTGCTAATGACATTAGATACTGCTATATATTTTACTAACACGGATTTGTGATTTTAACATCTGTATTAAAATCGAGGAGTTAATTGTGAACCATTGTTTAACATAATAAATGTCTTTGTTTTTTGCTGTTGCAGTTGTAGGTCACAGACATCCAACGATGAATCTCGTACTGGTTATGGTATGTACTCTCATTTTCTGTGAACCTGTGCTTTGCCCATACTAGAAAAAGTAACTGGTTCACTTTACAGCAGATACTGTAAGTCGGCCTTTCTCAACCTCTTTAACATGGAGGCACCCTTAAAATGTCTTTCCAGTCTCATTGAACCACTGCTTAAAATTACTATATCTACAGATCACGGTACATTAGCATGATGGTCACTGGGAGGAATGCTCTTTACATTTGTGGTCAGTGGAAAGAATCCCCCTTGTACTGTTAGCTAAAAAGATCTTTGGTGTCTGGTTACTTGTCTTAGAGGCAGAATTCATGAATTGTTTAAGGAACTCCTAACAACCTATGAAAGATACCTAGGACTTTATGGAGCCCTGGTTTAGAAAAGCTACTGTAAGTATGCCATACCTCCACCACCTTGGTTATGCTCACTTATGTCCCTGCAGTGGCGGAGCTAAGGAACAAAGGGCCCTGGTGCAAGATTTTTTTTGGGGCCCCCCCCCAAAAAAAACCCCACAAACACAGCGCTCTCCTTCCGCAGCGCTTGGCCGGCTGTCACTTTCTCTCCTCCCCGCTGGGGGACGGAGCAGCGTCCAGCGGGGAAAAAAGAAAGCACGGATGCACCGCTGTATCAGCAGAAAAATGGCACTTTCGGCATTATGCCAAAAGTGCCATTTTCGGCCAATATGTTTTGGCGGCCAATATATGGTGCAGCCCTAATATTTACAGCAATACAGAATGGCACAGGCTATAGAGGACTACACATCCCAGCAATACTTTATATAACAATAGCATTTCTGTATAAAGTACTGCTGAGATTTGTAGTCCTCAGCAGGCGATTGGTTGTAAGTCATACAGCAATCGCCTGCTGTTAAAAGCGGTACCAAGAGCAGCCGTGTTCTTGTTTTAACCACTTCTGCGGGCCACCGTCTATAGACGTACTGCGGCCTGGAAGTGGTTAAAGTGACATTAAAGTAAAAAAAATGTATCTCTCCACCCAATGTTAATGTTAGCACTTACCTTCACTGATGTCTCTTAATCCGATCTTCTTTCCTGATGTTTTCATCTGTCCCTCCAGCGGTGCGGCGGGTCTCCGATCCAGCGCTGACTCCTCTGTCATTGCTGGCACTTCCTGTCCCACAGTGTCTGCATGCGGTTGCGCGCCGTCCATTTACTTACCTTGTGTCTCTCCTCGTCTCCCGCCCGAAAATCCGAACTGCGCATGCGCCCGCCCCAAGATGCTTTGTGGCCGCCCCAAGCAGTTTCGGGTTTTCAGACTGGAGCGCGCGGCGAAGACGGGGTGAGTTCAAACCGCTGTTAAAACGTTTTGTTTTTAAAAAAAAACTTTTTGCATATATCTACTGCTTGCTAGCCTTATATATATGCAAAAATATCCGGAGTGTTTAAGTGTTTAATAACCCTTTAATACTCACCTGATCCCTGGAACGACCAACAAGCGCAGACTCCCGTCTCTCACACTGTCAGAATATGCATATAGAGCGTGTATTGGGCCCCCCCAGAGCCTGAGGCCCCGGGCGCCCGCACCGCCTGCACCGGAGGTAGTTCCGCCACTGTGTCCCTGATTTGCCCCCCAAGAGTCCACAGGGGTACAATGTCCCCATCCCTCACCCTCACACATGAGAGTACATGAGCCTGCTGATTGTGCACTCAAACATTGTAGGGGCCAGGGGAAATCCATATGTTCCAGCTGAGAGCACCTTGAGAAACGGGGTAGCTACCCCTAAAATGTTGTGTTATAGTTCTTCCTTGATGCCGTATACTGGAATTCTGGATAACAATCCCTTTACTCTTTCCTTTGTTTGAAATACATTTACAGTTGAGCTTTGACTTATTACTTGTACAGTGTTCTAATGGAATGTTTCAGCATGGATTACTATGTGCTATTTTGTAGTTTGTGTTACACCATTGGTTCTCAAAGATTATATATCATTACCAGCGCACCATACTGAAAGGTAATGTTAGGACATTCATTCGTCACTCATGAAAAGCTTTTAATGGATGACAAAAAAAATGTTCTACCTTTTTCCTTTCAGTATGGTGTGCTGTGCTGGTGGTTATGTCTGCTGATGTCAGCAATGAACCATATCCAGTACACGCTGGATATGGTTCATTGCTCTATGGCAGTTAGCTGGATTGGCTGCATAATTTTATTAGTTCATTCCCATTTAGGGAAGTTGTATTAACAAAATCCTGTTTTTCTATTTTATACATACACGGTGAGGTACGTTCTTGTATTTAACCTGTATGCATTGTGTATTTGTCTTAATGAATATTATTATATAAGCATTTCATGTGTTTGGTTGTGGGGTGCTTACTTTTCATTGTTATACAATGTTCCCCCATATCAGGCAATACTGGCTATTTCTCTGGGCTCTGTCTCCTTATCAGTGGAGTGGGGATCATGAGAGAGTACTATTTGCCTACAGTGCCCACTGTAATGGGAACCTGATGATTCCCCTAGTGTGGGCAAAAAACAGGTTCATGTTAACTTATGTAGTTCAGGAAGCTAAAGGGATCATTTCTAAATTTTACGGAACACCAGTCAGCATTATTTGTATAAAAAATTCACACATTGACACTAATGTAATCTTTCGAAAACCAAAAGCTGAGCCTGTGTAAAATTATTTACTGTTTATAGAATGCCATTGGCTCCAAGGATCAGTCACCAGCAACAGAAGTGAACAAATTAGGACTTCTGTGAAGTTCCAGCTTATTTTCAGAACGTCATAGCTAAGAAGGGCTGAACCAGGAAAGAAGTTCCGATTAAAAAATGGAATTGGTTGCTTTCCTAATTTACATAAGCTATGCAAAGCTTAGAAATGGGTTGGGGACGGATTTAATTAGAAATGCATGGTGAATACGGCACACATACCCCTAATGTAGTTCTCCTAAATAAGTTTATGAGTAACAACCCAAGAAACCCTAAACCAACATGCCACAAAGTTATTCATGTTAGGAACTTACCTCCACTATCTCCAGGTTCTGCTTACTAAAACAGGTACACATGAGTGCTACCACAAAATAGGTGAAACCCAGTCGCTGTAGGACCCCTGGTATACGTGCCCAGCGCCAGGACACTGCAAAAACAGACAGATGGGTAAATAAACAACAGAATCTACATGCAAGTTGAATTACTGTCCAAATATATAATTAAAGATGGTAGCAAGATCTGAAAGATACAACACTTTGATCAAAATGCAACAATCCTAGTAGACACTGGGCAGTAAAAGGGATTAAAGTGTACCTTACTTGCCCTGATACGTCAATAAGGTAACACTAGGGTTGAAGAACAGGAACTGTGTAGTGACTACAAGCTTTTACACTGATTTATTTGATTTGTGGAGCCCCATTGAATCCTACACCCAGGCGATACACAGGTACCTACCTCAGAAATATTTTAGACCCTAAACACTTTTAAAGACTCTTGGCAGGTACATTCATGTATGGCTATGGACGTAAATGTAAACCCTAACTGAATCACATTAAGTTTGCTGAAGCACGATGTTTCATAAACAATTATCATTGTTTTGTTATACAACTTCTTTTCACTTTTTTATACTTTGGCGCATCTCAGTGTTACTGATCTCCAGCAATATGTTTGCAGTCACTTCCTGTCTACATGCACGCCAGCAATGGATGAAAGGGATTTTTCAGGGTGGGTTTCCTGATGGTGACCACAGCGGACCATGCCTGTGTAATGTGTGTTGACATGGCCACTTCCAGTGCCCCTGACCCTAAGCATAACTAAACTCAAAAACAAACATGTTATATATTGCTGCTTACTAATCTTTAAATGTGGTGGTTGCATTACTTTTTTTAATAGGCGCATTTTCACCTGTGATCCGGCTAGTAACACACTTCCTGTCTTAGGGTGGCTCCACTCTATAGAAGAACAACAGAGCCACCCTTGGACAGCAGCATTGTCAGCTGTGGAGAGGGTAGTGTTAGATGGACAAGCAAATTTGGATGGACTTGACTAACAGCTCAAATCAGAACTCCAGCTAACATTTCTTCAGCAGTTACAGCAACAGATTATTTTTCCTTTTGAGATAAAGGTTTTGTCATTGACAGTCTGTCCAAATTACACAGATTTATTATCCTAGTTTATGTTTTATTCCTAAATGCATTCATAAGGAGACTGGTCTCAAAATTGTCTCTCTGTTTAAACTGTCTCTAAACGGTCTCAAGCTTGCGGTGGACCTCCTGGATGACAGCTGAATAGCCCTGAAGTGCTTAAAGGAGAACTATGGGGTTAGGGCTTTTCCCCATAGTTCATAGTTTCCCCAAACTAGCGTCCTCCCGTCACCCTAAGCTCAGTATACCGCGAGCTACAGCTCGCAGTATACTGAGACGCCGCAGTATACAGTGAGCTACAGCTCGTGGTATACTGAGGTGCCGCAGCTGAAACAAATCCTGACAATTATGTCTGGATCCGCCCAGCTGCGTGAGTGACAGCTGGCTCTGCCTATTTAGAGCCAGAGCCAGCTGTACCTGCCCCCTCCCCCGTCCGTTCCGCCAGTCAGTGCTGGAGGATCGAGAAGTGAGCGAGCCCCGGTATATGTTCGCTCACTTCCCAATCTACTGAGCCGACCTGTGACAGTTTCATTGTCACAGGTCGGCTAGAACTATGAGTATGAGTGAAAAGCACTCACCTCATAGTTCTCCTTTAACTGACTTGAGGGTATGAAGCTGAATTATCTGTGCGATACTTTAAGATGTGCTCAGGCACACTTCTAGAATGTGCAACAGTTTGGAGGGTTTATATTGTGGCAAATACTGGACACAAATACTGCACAGCTGAAAAATTATGCAAAATGTTGCAAAACATGTGCAGTAAATCACAAAAGTTAATAAGTTGCAAGAAAAAACATGCATAAGAGACATATAAAAGATAAAACTTTGTGGTTAGTTAGCATGACATTTTGGTCTTTCCGCCTAAAACATTTGTCACAAACACTTTCATAAAACCCCACCCCCAATGTATATCTATAAGCATGTAGAGGGCTAATTATGTGATCACTCCCCTCTTCTGTATATGCCGCAAGGATTTGAGCACAAACCTATCCATCTTACGTAAATCCTGTCTCAAAAACAGTAAAGGATTTGTGTCATAGTGGCAACATGCTTTTAAGATACTGTACATTAAAGTGCAGTGGTCATTATTACAAGCATAGTGAATTCTAGATTAATCAAAGTGCTCTCTAGCACCTTGTTATTTTAATATGTGTGCAAGTATTCCCTTTAGTGCTGCCATTAATGGATTACTGTGCTGTCTTTAATTCACTCCTTTCATGTTCCAGATCCTCTTCATGTCCATGGCTCATCTGACTGACTTTTGCAGGGCACTGCATCATTCCTCACTGATGTATGCTTTCAATTAATCAATGAGAAGAGAAAAGTACTTCTAAAAATCTCTTGGTGCAATGTGTGAAGTAAAGGGATGAGTTGCATGCTCATACATCTTTTCAGTAAATGTCATCTATTCTCAGTTCCTCTCCTTTTGCTGAATATAAATACACTACTTGAATTTGGATTTACAGGTTGGAATATCCATACATTCTGGAACGCAGTTGTGGGCCACAGGTACCGCTCCTGGTTTGTATAACATACACACTGCTAAATCCAAAATGTCTATACTTTTTTCAATAGCTGGACACATCTCCTGTCAGGTGCTTTTTGCCCATAGTTGGACTTAGTCATAGAGGAAACTATATGACTTAGTCCAATTGTGGGCCAAATACCTCAGGAGCAGAGCCTAAGAAAGGTATGCAGTTGCATTTCTGCTCTTTGTTAATCAGCAGAATGAGAAGCAAGAGACATATTTGATGATACAGTAGGATTTAGTAAGCCCAGATTTGTCAGTTGACCATAATCCATGGCCAGCTTGGTGGTTTTAGGAAGTTTTGCTTTGGGGCTACATTTATTAATAATTGAATTAATATTTGCTACACCAACGAGGAAAGCATGTATACTGGTGTTAGTCAATATTTCATTTTCATAAGCTTTTTAGCGGCATTCCTTAGATGTTCCAATAAAAAAATATATGCAATGGAGTATAGAAATTCAATGTCAGTACATTTTTTGCTGCTTGATTATGTGAAAGAACATTTCAACAGTAATGCCCCAAAGCCTTGAGCCACATATAATTTCTAAAGAGTTAATTATGAATGAGGATGTAACACTGCTTAGTAGAAAAGATAAAAGTGATTGTGTAGTAGAACTAATTATTGGTCACAAGCAGAACTGGTAAACATGAGGGGTTGACCATACATTACTGACCATGCTCTTTGTAGATTTTCATCAGTAAAGAGGTTTTCAATTAACCTGAGTACTTGTCAGCATTCATCTGCAGAAACAAATCTGAATCCTGTCATGCAGATCTGATTTTAATGTTGCAGCAGTGACTTGAAATAAGTGGAGACCAATACAGCTTCACTGGACAACCATTCAACATTTGAAGTTTCTGCTTTATTTGAAATTAAACCAATAGTCTAAATTATTTTATTTGTGGTATCCAAAGGTTTGCAAATGTAAGGTACATTAAATGGACAACTACACTATATGGACACCCCTCCAAATGATTGAGCTCAAGTGTTTCCAGTGAAGGTTACAGTTAACGTGACACTAAACTCAGGAGTTAAATCTTAAAAATGTTTACAAGTAACTTAACTATTAACAAAACTGTAGCTTATTTGTGTATTACTCGGCTGTAGATCCTCAAATCATCTTTGAATTTGTGTTGACACTATCCTTCCTCCTGGAGGGTGGCTACTTTTATTCCCCATGGCCACTGTGTGTGTTGCAAACTAGCCACCGCTCCGAGCTCGCTCCTGTGATGGAATAAAATCTCATGTTTAGTTTACTAATTTGTATTGAGATTGTATTCCATCACAGGAGTGAGCTTGTGGCTACTTTACAACACATACAGGAATCTACAAAGAGATTTGAGGATCTACAGCTGAGTGATACCCAAATAATATATGTTTTTGTTAATAGGTAAGGTACTTGAATGCTTTAACTCTTGAGTTTAGTATCACTTTAATGCTACAGCATGCAAAGACACTTTAGACCACTGTGCACTTCCAACATTAAATCAACAGTTTGGGAAGTCCCTTTTCTGTTTCAGCATGACTCTGCCTCTGTGCATAAAGCTAAGTCCATAAAGACACGGTTTGATAAGTCTAGGATAAAACAACTTAAATGCCATGTACAGAACCCGGCCCCTAACCCTATTAAACTACTTAGAGATAAATTGAAATACCAATTACTAGCCAGGTTTTCTCATCCAACTAATACTCTATTAGATGAAGGGGCTCAAATTCCAACAGACACACTTTAAAATTTTGTGGAGAACCTTCCCAGAAAAGTGGATGCTGTTATATCCGCAAAGGGTAGACAAATCGCCATACTATTGCCCATAGTATTGAAATGGAATGTTCAAAAAGCTCATATAGGTTTCCATGCTATAACCATTGGTGAAAAGCACATCTATGTTAAATTGCTAATCTGCTGGTTCATAGGCAAGCTTAGACAAATTTCTACCATGCTGAAGTCAGAAAATATTATGAGGGGAATTTATCAAAACTGGAGCAGCTGGCATGGCACCCCCATGTGTTTATCTTAAATCACGTTGTATATAATTTTCCCATATTGCCTTGCCACCAGGCTGAGACATGCTTTCATGGTATACTTGGTTAGTATTGCATTCTATTGCTAGTAAATCTGTGATGTGCCACCTCTGTGCTTTGAAAGGATGTCTTGAGGGCAGATTGATCAGGGGGGAAAATATTGAAAGATCAGCGATAAGCATAATTAAAGCACAGTGGTACTGGAATGTGCATATTAAGATATGTGCCATCCCTATGTTGCTGAGCTGGGAACTTGGGACTCCCTGGTTTACAGAATTACAAGCTCTGGAAGAGAGAAGACCAGATTATTGAGCATTATAGGGGTTCATTGAGTAGGGGAGCAAGATGCAAAAGAAGCAATGCTGTGGTGACACCTTAACCTGATTAATAACCAGGTGTTTGACAAAAAGTACTTTAAATATTTTAAAAAATTATGGTCATCTAGTCAC